AAATTTAAATAAATATCACTATTCTACTCAAAAAAATTGTGATAACTGAATCCCAATAATAATTGGCTTATACAATAAATTGTGCCCACATAGAATAAAAAGAGACTCATTTGAGTCTTTACCGCCAGTCCTGTGTGTCCAAAAGTGATATTGCGTGGACTTAACAAAAACTCATACAATTTTTTTGATACCGAATTGACTTTTTCTATTGGTAAAATCACGAGATACCGAACCTTGCTTACCATTATGCTAGGCAAAAACATTCCCCTTTTGTGACCCATGGTGGTCACTGTTGTCCAAAATGAGAGTTAGTAAAATGTATTTTTGATCTCAGGTTTAACATTTTTTTAGAACAGATATTAACTTATTAATTTAGTTATTTTTTGTGTCAAAAAAAAATATATTATGCTAGGCAGAAACCACAAATTAGCGCCGTGAGCCACTAAAATTTGAAATTGATTTTCCCTAGCTATAACTTTGAGACTTTAAGTTCTGAGATTTAAGATTTTTAATCCAAATTAACAACAAAAATTAATGGGTGTCTCAAACTTTGTTAATATCCCCTGATTGATTGGCCACATCATCACGTACCACTCACATTTATGTATCCAGGTGAGTGAACTTTAGTAACTCTTAGTTCTACTAATTAATTAAAGGTTTATTTAATTTAAAATTGTTTATCATATGTATTTAAGATATAAAATAAAAGTGTAATAAATATATATTTTTTTATAATTAATGTATATAAAAAATAATAAAAGTTAATTTAAAATTAATTAATTAAAATTATCTAAATGATAATAACACTAAAATAAAAATTAATTTTTATTATTTTTAGGTAAATTAAATATAAAAAATGTATTTCTTGCACCTTGACCTGTGCCCCTAGACAAACCCTATTTACATTTCAAAGGTTTAAATTAATTATGTAATAAATATATTTTTAATTAATTTATTTAAAAAAATTATAAAAATTAATATATATTTTAATATCATTGATATGTTAATAATTGTTATTGATTAATTAATTAAATTAAAATTAATATTTACACTTCTAATAAAAATTAATTAACAAAAAATATGTTTATTAGATATTTATCATATGCAGCTAAGGTACATAATAGAAAAATTCATTAATTAATCAAATATTTAACCCTTTTAATTAATTGTTTTAAACAAAAATACAATTCGTCAGCACCAACCATCGCTCTCCACGAGAAATTCAACCAGAACCATCTCTCTCTCCAGTTTCCACCTTCTTCTTCTCCCTACCCCCTCCTCCCTCATCCCTCCTCCTCCTCTGTCTTCATTTTTTTATTTTAATCGAGTTTCCCATGAATCCTAACTCTGAATTTCTAGCAAAACCCAAACAAATTGTGGATAACTTAATTTCTGGGTTTTCAAAGAATAACACAACATCGACATTAATCTTCTGAAATTTTATTTTACAAAAAAAAACTTTTTAAAATTTTGTGAAAATAAATCGCATCAGATACAAAAGTTATGGATTATAGGCTTTGCCAAACATACCTTTGCCCATTTGACCTCTCAAAATTCCTTCCACCATTTGCCTTCTCTCTCTCTCTCTCACTAGAAAATCATTTTTTCTTTCATTTCATACATATTATCTTCATAAGCAACCATAATTAAGCTTCATGTCGCTCTTTAAGAATTAATGGTTCGATTCTTCGATCCCCTTTCCTTTCTTCTTTCTCATCCTCTATTTTTTAAAAACAATTTTCTTTATTTCACCACACTTCCTAATTTGTCTATTAAAATTCTTAAATTTATGTATGTAATCAAACATAGGGTTTCACTTTGATTCCTCTC